AAATTAATTTTTCTGTCCATGGGTCATGTCGCCGTGGCTGTTGCTCAGCTTCGGCTGTTATCTCCACCTCAGTTGATTCTATTTCTGCAAAACATTTTGAGTGTCAACAAGCTCAGACAAGAAATGGATGCATCTGCCTTTTCTTCTTTTGATCCGACTAGACTAAAGAAAAATCTACAGAATCTTGCTGGTATTAAAGAAATATTACACCAATAATCTATCTCAGTATTTGATTCTCAAAGGGAAGATTTCTTTAGGTGGAGAATTTCTATAAAGGAATATTTCAAGATTTTGGGAGATACGCTTGTTAGATTTTTCTGCTGACAGTTAAATGAGAGGAACGATACCACATACGAAGCTGGAGGTTAGCTTAGCTTAGCACAAAGACTGAAAACAGGGGGAAACTGCTAGCCGGCCTCTGTCCAAAGGTAACAAACCTCTGAAGCTCACTAATTCATTCATTTTTGTTTAGTTTGTACAAAAAGAGTATAATAAAGCACTTGTGGTTTTATGTGCGGGACTATTTCTTGACGGAAAGCAGCAAGTGCCAGGTTATTCTAGAAAATCACAACCATTGTTAGTAATTGTTAACAACAGATGTTCTCAAAAGGTGACACGCAGTAACTGTTTAAATATGGGGATCACGTCTCTCCCGTCGGCTTTTGAAAGTTACACAAATTCACACAAATTCTGCCATTGGTAAGATGTTGTTCGGTGGGTTTCCGAAGCTGTTCAACCATTCGACAAGCAGTTCTGATGGAGTACACTGGTGCCTTAATAATAATAATAATAAGAATAATACATTTTATTTATATAGCGCTTTTCATAAAACTCAAAGACACTTTACATTAAAATCATCATATATAAAAGCAATACACTAAAAACATAAAATACACAATAGTGGTCACACATTAAAAGCAGTTTTGAACAGGTGGGTTTTGATCTGTGATTTGAATGTGCAAAGGTCAGTGCAGTCTCGGATGCGTTTGGGGAGAGAGTTCCAGAGGGAGGGGGCAGATATGGAGAAGGCTCTGTCACCCCATGTCCGGTGCTTGGTCCTGAGTGGAAGAGACAGGAGGTTGGCATCAGAGGAGCGGAGCCGACGGGATGGAGTGTGGTGGTGAAGCAGGTCGGTGAGGTAGGAGGGGGCCTGATTGTGGAGGGCTTTATGAGTGAGGAGAAGGATTTTGTATTGGATCCGTTGTGGGATGGGGAGCCAGTGGAGGTTCTGGAGAACAGGGGTGATGTGGTCACGGGATCGGGTGTGGGTGTTAAGTATTCCCTGTAACACCACACCTCTTACACTTTTGCAGAGACTAGTTATGCTAAGCTAAGCTAACCAACTGCTGGCTGTAGCGTCATATTCACGTACAGAGTTGAGGGTGGCATCCTGTGGTGTTGTTCTTTTCACCATCAGTCTGTTTAAGCTGCTGCTCAGTGAAACATGCAGCACAAAAGAGCTATTTAACTTATTCCTGTGCATCCGAACCTGTGTGTCGGTAACTTCCTGTATGAATACAAAATTGACGGTTTTACACCTTTGGATTCTGTAGAGATTAAAAAAACAACCAGATGTAGCATGTTAATTGTGCTCTTCAGGTACTGGTAGATGTTACCTTTGGAAGGACCCAGGTTAAGGCGCTTCCCACCCGTTTCTTTATGCTAAGCTATGCTAATTGGCTTCAGGCTTAATTTCTTCTCATCTAACTCTCTTAAATTAAGCAAAAGAGTGTGTTTCCCAAAATGGCTTTATACCCAAGAGAGATGTGATGTGATCATTTAGACAATCCTCTGCCCCTCCCCTCAGTTAAGTTTGGACGCTTCCTTTGTTTTCATAAATGAAATGACCCTTTTGGCCGTACAGGGTCCAGCAGCACCAGCACACCATGTGTCAAACAGACTGATCGTAATCCCGGCTAAACACTTTTGTGTGTGACACGGCCGGTTGCCCCCCCCCCAACACTCTGTAGGCCTGTTTGAGGATAAAGGTCTCACCTCAGCAGACAGCCTCACACTCTTGTTTGCAAACTGCACAGCTGGTCGAACTCCCAGAGGCCAGCCCTCCAAATCCCTCGGGGCACTGCCTGCACTCGCACTGCAAATATCCCCCGACATCACCAGCATCATATCCAACCCCCCCCACCCCACACACACACAAACACGCGCACACACACACACACACACACACACAACCTTGGCCCTGTTTTTAGAAACAACTAAATAACCCAGTCAGTGTGATGAAAGGGCAGGGACCTTATCAACCCCTTAACTCAACCTTGCTGACACACACACACACACACGCACGCACGCACACGTGCACACACACACACACACACACACACACACCATCACCAGCAGCTCAATACCTCTCCCACATTGATTTTCTGTGTGCCCTGCACTGCCGTTTGTATTTCAACACAAAGGAGTCGCCTGCCATAATGGCGTCACTGCCGAAAGATCGTCTCCACGTGTTAAAGTGGAAGACAAAACAAAGCAAATTATATTTAGAAACAACTCAGTGACGCATCATCTGACAGGCCATGACAAACGAGAAGAGCTGGTGTTCTTTCATTATGTCTGTCAAGATGAAAACACGTCACACAACTCTTTACACACTTTATTCAACTCATCCGCTGATTTCAGAGGTCATCATGCCTTCATCAGGCCGTCTTAGGTTGCTTCAAATTGTCTTACAGTCATCATAGTATTCAAAACATTGTTATCACCATCTTCAAAAAAAACCCTTGTATTTTACTCTTATTTGATAAAGAAAATAAAAAATATACAAATGACCATTACTCCAAAACATATTACAACCATCTTTTCAGAATACTGCTAAACAAATCCAGTCGTTCATCATAAGTCATCAATATCTACCCAGTGAATGAAGATTTATACAGAAAATGATTATGATATTGTTTTGTTAAGTGTCTATGGTGTTTTGTCAGAAATAACATCATACATCACCCCGATGATAGCCAGACAGAAGAAGAGTTGTGTAACGTGTCTTGATTTTGATAATTACATATCAATAGTATTATACCTGTATGATTGCCATGGTATTGTTTGATGATATCCCCCTTTTGGGCAAATAATATCTACCAATGCAAATTAATGCAAATCAAAAATAAATAAAAAATGTTTTGTTTAAGTTTTTGTTTAATATGTGAAATGGATAGAAGTTAATTTGCATTAAACACCAGTTTGCCAGTTTTACATGTAATGTTGTAGACATTGAAATATTGTGACATTGAAAAGGACTTTAAATGTACAGAAAACACTTTCGCTTTACGTCTACTTTATGCTAAAATCACTGTACAACTAAATGGTGTGTTGTGAATGCAAATAAACCTTTAAGTGACATGAAATCAAAATTTAAATTGAGCCTTGACTGTAATGTCGCTTTGAACCTTCAGATAGGTATAAAAACGCCATCATTTAATTTACGTTTGTTGAAGGTGCCGGGCCTCTAATGCAGACACACAGAACCTGATATTTCAGTCACACCTCACATGTGTTGACTCTTGTGATGAAAGGCACGGTCGGAGGACTCTGGAGAACACTGAATAGGTAGCGATGAAGGACGTGAGCAGTGCAGTATCTCATACTGAGCGAGGCGTGAATGTACAGCAATGAAGGCTAGGAAGTAAAGTGGCTGTCCACCTCTTTATCAGCGAGTCCAGATTAACGGGCCTCCCAAGAGGCTGAGGGGGATGTAGTCTGAATTTGTAGGACAGTGATGGGAGAATGAATACAGTGGAAGATTGGACACACAACGTCTGTGGAGCCTGATAGGAGCTTCTGCATTAAACACCTGAGAGCTGAAGGTAGCTGAAAGACGCTCTTTCGAGGGACGTGAGGCTGGAGGTTTGCTGTCACAACGAATATAAAAATATCCAGAGCTGTACTTGAAAAAGCTTCTGATTCTTCTATTGATGAAGGACTACATTCAAACTGAAAGTCTGCAGCCATGCTGCCGGCTCTGAAAGGCTGTACCTCCACTGTGTGGCTTTGCGCTAAATGCTAACGTCAGCATGCTAACATGCTTGGAAAGGCCATAATTATTGCTTTGCAATTCATATATATATATATATATATATATATATATATATATATATATCCAGAATTGTTGTCAAATTCTTGAATATATACTTTCAAGGAGAAAAAAATCTAACCACTGTTTCCTGAAGACCAAAGTGGCTTCTTCTCATTGCTTGTTTTATCCGTCCAACAGTTAGGAACCCTAAAAAACTCCACACCGTTCTCACCAAATGGCGTACAATTGACACAACAGTTTTTTTGTCATTTAGCATGCCATAAGAAAGCCATTCTTGCGTGTCATTTTACGTCATGTAATCTGTGCTAACTGCAATGTACAGTAAATGCATGGGCGTGAATATGCTAAGCTGAGAGCAAGTGATGTATTATAGAAAGTGAGATAGACTAATTATGAAACTCATAAATTATTATTGCGTTGTTTTGTTACGTTAGTGATGTTCGTGAGGTGTTTTCTGTACTTATGTTAGGTTGTTTGTATTTTACTTAGTTTACGTACTTATTCTAAGCCCAACCATGATGTTTTCCCTAAACCTAACCAAATGGCTTTGTTGCCTAAATCCAACTGCAGCTGTTTCACGGTAACGAGGTGGCGCAAAATGACAAGCAGAAAGCCTTAAATCTGCTTTATTTATACGCTTTTCACATAAGATCTGGTTGCATATTCAGTTAACGTACATATAAGACAAAGAAATTATCATAAATTAAGGTAATATTTTGCATTTCTTTCTTGAAAAAGTAGCTTAAAAAATAACTGCTGATTATTGTTTTTCCAGCCAGTTCACACAATTAATAAACTAATCGTTTCAGCTCTGGATTTAATCCTTCAAAATTAGTTCACCACGTAGAAGCCAGTCAGATTGTTTCGATCAAATCTACCGAATGTTAATTATTTGAATCTCAGAGTGTGTGAAGTATTGAGATGTGTTTCTTCTCTCCGGCAGGTGGCGTTGTGCTGGACAGACAATGGCTCTCTCCTGGAGTCTCCTCCTGGCGCTCTTGTTTGCCACCCTGACGCTGTCACACAGCGCTGAGCCCGGAGCTCCTCACGGCAAGAGGAGACAGGCGGCGACCTCGGCGGGTGGCAGCAACGCCCTGCAGCACCCTCTGCAAGGTCTACAGGGCCACCGCTACAGCAGGGACCGCGGAGGGCAAGGGGGCCAGGGGGCCCGCGCTGCCAAAGGCGGAGCCGGGCTGCTCTCCCGCAGGCCCCTGCACCCCCTCGCCAGGCCCGAGGATGACGGGACGGGCCTGGAGAGTTTGAGCCCGGTGAGACTGGAGACGGGCCCGGCCAGGGACAGAGACAGAGTTCGAATGAGCATGAAGAGTCCGTCCCAGACCCGGGAAAACCAGCTTCTGGGGACACGCAAAGGACGGGGACATGGACACGGGAATGGACACGGTCACCATTTTGAGCAAAGGAGACAGGGGAGTCGACGTGACAAGGAGCGGCATGGAAAAGGTGAGCTGATCCAGACATGCAGGACATTGATCCACAACTGCAGTGCGGTCCAGTGTTGCATAAGCAACTAGGAGCTACAGGCTTTTTTCCATGGAAGACCTTGTGACATGGGGCAGGAGGAAATGCAGAGGTGTAAATAATAAAATGAATGCTTCGACTGTACATGCTGTCAATAGAACATATATGATGATACTCACATCATTAATACAACTCCATGCATGAACAATGTTCTGCACGGCGACTTCAGATGATTCGCAGGCGTCACACTGCGAGCTCTGTGGATTAATTCAGAGGAACCGAGACCTTGTTTCTGGAAAAAAAGCTGTTGAATGTTTAAAAATGTGACTTTTCACTGCATGCTGGAGGCACCACACATGAAATTTTAACATCTCCACTGTGCTGAAGTGGTGGCTCAGTGCTCAGTGGTAGAGCAGGTCGTCCTTCAATCAGAGGAACTGCGGTCCACTAGTCCATGTCGATGTGTCCTTGGGCAAGACACTTAATCCCAAATTGCCCCCGTAGGGTGTTCATGCGGTGTACGAATGGGTGTGAATGATTAGATAGTCCTGATGGGCAGATGGCACCTTGCATGGGAGCCCCTGCTATCAGTGTGTGAATGGGTGATAATGGGTGAATAACATGTAGTGTTAAAGCGCTTTGGGTGGCGGGAAGACTAGCCATCCCACCAGAGATCCATTTAGCTTCGGTTCATATCACACGGTCAATTTTAGATGAATTTTAGATTTTTATCTTTTAAGCCACAATTCCCGACAGTGCTGGTTGGATATTTAAACATCTCAATGACAAGAAGCCAAAGTCAGTCGGCTGAGGAAGATCATTTGTTTCATTCAAAAGCTCCAGTTCAGCTACTAAATGGACCTTGCTGTGAGTCTTTAGGGAGGAAATGTGCTTTTTTTCTTTTGTTCGGACATAGTCTTCCCACTTCATTAACTCTTTATAGAAGTTTGCTTCTATATTCTAATGCTGAATTGTGTGCTCATAACACATCAGAATTGATATCATATTTTCTCCCAAAAAATATACTGGAACACACGGAGATAAGGCCAAACAACTTTGGTAGAGGACTAATGTTTTGACGCCAATAGCGTCTTCATCACAGTCAAACATTCCACAAGCTCACTGTGCGTTCCAATATACGCATACTACCATAGTATTAAGGATGCCAGAAAAAGATTTAGTTTGGATATACTCTGTTAAGATTTAGTATCTCAAAGGCAGTATCCAAAAATTCCAGGATGTCCTACTGCATCCAGTCACATTTTGCAGTATGCAAGCCAGCATGGCTTTCTGCCCCACAATCCTCTGCACGATATATGTTCAAGGTGCATTGTTATAAGGAAGTAGTACGTCCCAATTGAATGCATACTGAATGCAACAGTACGCACTTTAAAAGGGCAGCTGCAGTGTGTACGATTTGTAACGCAGTGTCACGTTCTTTTTATTAACGTCCTCTAATGAGGAAGTCATTCAGTACAGTTTCACAATGATATATAATATAATAACAAAAAGAGAAAAGTAAATATATCTATTTATGACATTACATATCTGTAACACCATCATGTTTTATCCTCCTGTCCCTCCAGGGTTTCTTCCAGAGCCAGAGCTCAGCTCTGCGTTTAAGGACAGAGATTTGTTCGAGGATCCTCCCTCCTCCTCCACCGCCTCCCCCTCCCTCAACATGACCCCGCCCAGTGACACCCCCTCCCCCATGGCCGCCGTCTTTGGCTCCGGCTCCTCCATGGTTACCACGGTGATGAACGAGCATCCCCCAACGCTGCCCCCGGCCTCCACCAAACCCCAGGTAACCCCGGCGGAAACCCAAAGTGCTTATTAAAAGGCTGCGTCTGTTGTGCCTCAGTGTGATTCCAGTGTGCGGGGGAAATAGAGCAAAAATGGGCCCCATTACTGCCGTTATGCTGCCGCAAAACCTCATAGCTCATCTCGGAAATGACACACAGTGTGAACCTGAAAGTGCTGCCTGTGAAAAATATCCTCCAGCAGGCCGCTGGCTCCCGGTCACAGTGCGTAAGATAGATACGGCCGTGTTCTGTATAATAAAACGACGCCGCTGGGATCAAAATCCCACAGTTCAGAGTCCAGCAGCACATTTTCTGTAACCACCTTCCTGCTCTTTTATTAACAGCATGGCAGGACAAAATGTATGGGAGCACGGAGAGTCTTTATTCTTTGGTGGGTGTGGGGCACCACTCTCCACCTGTCACACTCACCCAGCATGATGCTTCAACAGTGTGCATAAACATCATTTATATGGGGAAAAACCCAACATGTTTTCTCAAACCTCCTTCAATCCTGGAACAGATACAGACGAGACTCTTTGAGAACCTGATGTCAGTGAAAGCTTCGACATTCGTCACAGCTGCCACTACAAACACCCAGCAGCTTTCAGGGCGTCCATGGGAAACATATCTGCCTCAGTCACATGATGAGCGACAGCAGTTTTGTTGAGGAGCGCTGTTGAAGACAGTCGAGATGTTGCTGGAAAGGAAATTCATGGAAAAGAGAACCGAATCACTGGACTGGAGTTTCGACTGAAGACGTTCTTCTGAAAAGATGCTTCAGTTGTTATTATTGATTACAATGTGATCTCATCCAGATCCAGCTACTAAAACCAATACGACAGACAAGACTTTAATCCAGTGATCTGGAATAAACTTTTCAGATATTGTACCACCTGACTTAAATAAAACCTATTTATTTTAATTTGATAGTTTATTGGAAAAGGACAATTGACAGAAAGCATAATAAATAAGCTAAAGTTAGCACAGAAGGCTAATTCTCATCAGGCCCCCCCAAACATTGTATCCAGTGATGCAATGTAAGGTAAAGTACATGTACAAGTTTGAGGTTCTTTGCATGAGTATTTTCCATTTCACGCTAGATTATACCGCCCCGCATTCAGGAAAAAAAATCTTGCAAGAGTGATATGTACATCGTATCCACATTTTCAGCACCTGGTTGAAGTTTTGAAAGAAGTCGGGGAGGCTCTGTGTGATGCTCCCTCTGTCAGTCTCTCTATGGTGGACTGTCGGCCTGCTTGGTTTTCTGAGAGTCCCGGAGTCTGTGTGTGTCTTTACTATGAGAGCGGTCAAATATTATTGGAGCACAGAAGAAAAAAAAGCCTTTCTTGAACAATTGCTCCAGTGGAGCGAGCATTGCGGCAAGGCTTCCTTAATTAATGTTCGATCTCCTGCTGATGGTTTAATGAGCTGCCGAGCACAAGCAGACAGCCACCTGCAATTAATGTAATTGTTACTTCCATATAGGCTTATTTCCTGAGGGGGGGGGGGGGGGCCAAGTATGGATCTGATTCCACGAAGACTTTTCTTATTTTTTTTGATGGATGTCTTTCATGGACCGATTATTCTTCAAGAGACGTCTCAAAGTCCTGCTCACTTCATTACACTGTGTAACACTTCTACTCTGCTTCCTTCTTTGTACCATTTGTCACGGCTTTTATTGCAGAGTCATATATGCACAAACAATCCACGAAGGAGTTTTGTTTTATAGCTATGTCATCGAACACTCATCTGAATTACAACATTTTACTGAGGTAGAATATTTGAATTTATGACACTCGTACTTTTATATGTATTTATGGATCGGTCCAAAAAGGTATTCTACGGCTGCCTTTAACTATTTAGGGAGAAAGCAGAAAATAAACTGTTTATATTCTTTTGTTACAGAAAACTACACACTAGAACAACAAATAATGAACTGAGGCTAGTTCAGAGATGATGGAAACAGTCAAATTAAAAGGGTTCATATTTTAGTTTTTTGTGTTGTTTTTTGTGATGTTCAGTGTGGTCTGCTGATATTTTGGGCAAGTGTTTGGGAGAGATTAAAGGTCAACTGTGTTTTGAACAAAAATGTGATCCTTTAGTCCGTGTGTCACATACAGCCCAATTTGATCTGAGCTCTGCTCAAATATATGCATAAGGAAAAGAATATGCTCAGAAACTTTGTTAAGTAAAGTAAAAAAATACTTTTAAAAGTACCTTTTAAAAGTATTTCCCTAACAATGCTATGAAACCATACCTAGTGGCTGACTTGTGTTAAACATTGCAGATATTTGAACTAAAATCACCCATGTAGTACATGAATAATAAATAATATTAGAATAATAAAATGTCCACCCAGGATCATTTGCAGGCTGCATTAGTTGCCTGCTGCCCTTATAAAAGCTGTGGTTGTATGTAATGAACTGTAGTTTCAAGCTATACGTCTGTATTTTGCATATATATATATATATATATATATATATATATATATATATATATATACTTGTAATCCAGGCTGTGGGCAGTCATGTTCTCTGTTACCAATCGATTGGGTTTTAAAGCTCTGCTTCTTTCTCTGATGACTCTGTGTGGGCGTTTTATGAATCAATGAGGCATTACCACAACACAAGTCTGATGTGTTTCATTAAGAACAGCCTGGACGTGTTTACCTGCAGTACTGATAGAAAACACAGTCAACAAATCAAACCATAGACATCCACTGCTGCTGCGCTGGAATTGTAGTAACTGAACATTAACCTGACGAGACAGAATTGATCTCTTCAATGTGTTCTCTCCAGTGGCTCTTATGCTGGATAACACCAACATTTAGGATTAGTCTTTAATACACATCTAAATTTTCTGATCACAATTGTCTTTAGAAGATGTTTCATGAACTTTCACAGCATGCTGAAACTAATTGAAGATGTTTAAGTGTTTACACATCTGCATCTTTGCTCTGTCCAGTTTGTATTTCAGAGACAGAACGTAAGTTAAGTTGAGTTAGTTAACTTCAAGTTACGTTTCGTTTTTCAGAGGTCCGGAAGAGGAAAAGGACAAGGAGAGGTGATGCCAACGCTGGACATGGCACTTTTTGACTGGACAGACTACGAGGACATGAAGCCTGTGGACACCTGGCCGTCATCCAGGAAGAAAGGTTAGTTACTAGCTGTAGTTGTGAATGTGTGGTCATTAAAGACCCGGATTTAAAAACAAATTTGGTGGAAATAAACTGTATCAAACAATCAAACAAAGAATGTTGTTAGTTTTGTGGGTATTAAGTCAAAAAACAAAATATTGGACAAAGTTGTACCTCTTGGTGGTGCTAGATGAAGGATCAAGGGATCAAACTTATGTTTCCCTAATTACTCATTGGTCCATGAATGTCTGTAGCATATGTCATGGCAATCCATCCAATAGTAGTTTAGATATTTCAATGAAAAACAAAAATGTCAACCTCATGGTTGTGTCACCAAGCTCCCAGGAAGAGCGCTGGGCTTTCAAGCAAATGTTACATAGTGTTCAAACCGTGAAAATACAATTTCAAGCTCCGTCACATGATGCCATGGAGCCTAAAAATACCTTTTTCCGTACACTTACATTGGGAAAGAGACATCTGTAAATCAGCTGGTCTTTTTTTTTTTTTTTCTTCAGCAAATTAACTTTCCAGTACAAACACATGAATGGCCCCTTTTCAAGTAATTCTGTCCTAAAAGTTCTAAAAATGCACTTATAACAGAGTTATTTTCCTCCCTCTGTTCATGTGAATGAGCCCGAGAACGAGGCTGGGAGGCGGAGTTTAAGGAAACGCTAGTGCGCTTGCTCTATTGGCCTGTGGTTGTGTAAGATCGGCGTAAGATCCGGGTGAATTTATGCTCGGAACCAAACTTTCTTTGCTTCATGCACCACTGAGCAACTTTCGTTGTGTATGAATCAAGTGAAAAATGTGTTCTTGTACAAACAGAAATGACTTCACCGTCAAATACCTGACATAAAAGCACAACTCAACTGAGTGACAAATGAAATCGATCTGTTTGGTTGAGGCTGTGCATCGATCAGACGCCTTCAGGATCAAACTGTTGTTTACATCGATCTCTCCTGCTGCAGACAAGAGGCGGAGTAAGAACCTCAGCAGTGGAAATGTGACTGAAGACGCTGACGCCATCGAGCCATGTGACCACCACCTGGACTGTCTCCCAGGTCAGTCTTGATCAGGCGGCAACCTCGGGGTCTGAAAAGGGAAGCCGATGCTGAAGTGTCTTAAACTTGCATTCTCTCTCATGACCATCAGGGGGCGACTCCTCTGGTTGTATAGAAGTCTATGAGAAAATGACTCTACTTCTCTCTTGATTTATTCCCTCAGTAAACATTGTAAACATGAGTTTATGGTCTCAATCTCTAGTTTCAAGTCTTCTTCAATACAGCATGATGTTCATTTTGTAAATTATGGTCCATTTAGAGTCTAATAGACCATAAAGCAGAGTATGCTTTATGGTGGAGCTACCTTGTGATTGACAGGTCGCTACCATAGCAGTGTCCGGTCAGTGTGTCCACCGTGTTTTCATCTTAGAACTTCATTCCTTTCAGTGTGTTTTCAGTTCATGAAAGTTATTTGTAACCGTTTAGTTGCTTAATAGTGTCTTATTCAGCGTTCAGTTGTACTTAGCTCCACCCTCTGTTGTCACTTCTTGTTGCAAAAACCAAAATGGCGATGGCCATAACGCCAAACTCGAGGCTTCAAAACTGTAGTCCACAAATCAATGGGTGACTTCACAGTGACTACATCCACTTCTTATTTACAGTCTGGTCTTGATTGCAATAAAACTCTGTGATGCTCCAATATACAGAAAGATATAATTCACAATTTGCTAAACTGCTTTTGTAACAACTTCAACATCCAGAAATCAAATAATGTGACATCAGTAAATGTCTCTCTATAGTAAAGGAAAAAACAAAAGGGCAAATTTGGACACGTACCAGAATGTACCATAATTTAATTATAACAGTGTATATATATATATCTATGTTGGGTTTGTAGTCTTTGTCATTACAGGCCTTGAACACTTTACAACAGCTAAAGGTTCAGAGAAATACATCTGTATAATATTATTTTCAAACCCCCCCCAAAAAACCATCTAATTAGCTTCATAACCAAACAAGCCCACACCACTTTTGGGGGATTTCAAACAAATCCTGATTGGTTAATAGAAGCATGTGACATCCTGTTTTCTCCAACTGAGCCCCGCCCACTTCAAACCATTGAGAAAATCCTCAAAAATAGAATTATTGAAAGTGAAACAACCAACACTGTTGTGTATGTTTGACCTCATGTCTCATAGTGAAAAACTGTTTAATAAATGAGCTTTCAGAACCTTGAAGATGAAAAGGAACATATCATTTCTTATGCAACTTAAAGTACCTCTCTTTTACAATGTTCCTCATGTGTTTGGCTGGTGAATGTGTAATGTGCTCGTTCCGTTACAGGTTCTTGTTGTGACTTGAGACAACATGAGTGTAAACCTCACAACAGAGGCCTCAACAACAAATGCTACGACGACTGCATGTGTGAAGAAGGTAAGTGAGGGGAACGTGGTCCGATGACACAGAATAGAGCAGCTGAACATCAGTGAGAGGAACTGGGCCGATACATAAAGTGCAGGGCTGATGAGGGGAAGGGAGAGCAGGTGTGCAGGTAGGAGGAAGAGGTCAGGTGATTTAAATACTGTGTGGTGTATCAAACTGCACTATGGACCTGTTTCACAGCAGACATGTAACAGTAGTAAAAACAACAACAACCACAGATGTATTAAATAACATTCATCTTTTAGAATTGATGTTATAGATCATTTACTTGTTTACTAACTTTTAAATGAACTTGCTCATCAGAGATTCTCTTTTACTTGACGTTCCAGTCAGATCCCTGAGCTCCTCCACTGCTTTCCTTTCAAAAAGTTCCTCAAGTGTGTTTATGCCCCTAAACTGTTGCCTCTGGATATTAGAATGGCAAGACGTAAAGTTTTGATCTGGTCATTTGATAGTGTTCATTTTTAAGTTTAAATTTTTACTTATTTGTATTGACTTTTATTTATTTTAAGCATTTTTTTTGTCATTTTGCAATATCTTGCTAAATTGTATCTATTGTCGTCTATTTTTGCTTTTATTTTGTGTTTGTTGTTTTAATCTCTATGTGAAACACTGGGCTGCAAATTGGTATGAAAGTTGCTCTAGGAATTTAGTTGAATGAGTTGAATTTCACTGGCATTGTGTGCGCTGGCTCACTGGAATAAGTTACTGCAGTAACTTATTCGACTTCGGAATTAAACGACGTCCCATGTTTTCCTGCTGTTACAAGTCAAAATGTCTGCTGTGAAAAATATGTATGATGTATCACAATTTTAACAGTAAACTATCACAAGACACAGGTCACTATAACGGAATAGTTTGACATTTTGGGGAAATCGGTGTATTCACTCTGAAAGCACTCTCTCTTTTCATCGAACTCTCAGCCAGAGAATGAACAATCACGTAAAATATCGACCTTTTGCCTCACAGCAATGCTCCACTTTGTGGCTCTTTGAGCATCTATTTTACAGCAGCAGTTTGTCTTTTCATGTGCAGGTGTGTGTCATTCCCCCCCGCCCCCAAGTCTCACTGTTTATCATTACGTTTTAAAAAGGCATTGACTGGTGACGGGTACGCTTCCCTAGAGTGGCACACAATTAGTGGCAGACTGACATAAAATGTCACAGTGTTGTGAAATGTTGATTTTTGTGTCAAATGTTTTTGAGTTTAGAAATGTGATGGATTGTTTCTGTGCTACTGGAGTTATCTGGGGTTAGTTCTTAGTTCTCTTCAGTTTCAGACTTTGGCAATTTGTTTCGTTCACCAACGACTGCCGAACCGCCTCATGAACGACTTTGCTTTGGTATTTTTTGATACCGCCCCCTGGCTATATAGTCTAGAGAGTATTACAGATCCAAGTCAAAACTGACAAAAGTCACAGTTGCAAATCCGTTTGCTACTTCAGCACCACGGACAGCACCGTGGATTTATCAATAGAGTGCTGCGGGATGACGTATTTTTGTAAGTTAGCATCACACTTGTTCCCTCAACAAAAAAAACAATGGGATTTTTCCATTGGCTCTTGGATTACTGCAGAAGATGAGCCCTGTGGCAAACAAACGTTTAAGATACTTGCACGTTCTGTTCAGCATGATAATCTTCACAAATGAACAACACGTTTATGATTTTTTAAGCGTGAATGCAATTGGCAGAAGTAAAAGGCTAACGTGAAGCTATAAACAAACTACACCACAGTCACATGAGCTTGAGCATAAACACAACGAGGCTGTAAAGGCAAACTAGTCGGCGTGATGACGTTTTAGTCTCATTTAGCCACTTATTCGCAACCGCCTCTTTTAAGACTCGTTAAAGCTTCAAAAATCAAGAGAGGTGTATTTATTGACATATTTTATATCGCAGTACAAACCGTTAACATCTCTTAAGCTTGCATAAACCACAGACCTTATTTCAGACATTTAACCAAAAACACATTGGGTACTAGTCGAAGGAACTGGAAGTGCGTAAATGCTGACTCATTTCAGGGTTTTAGTACTCATTCCTGCACCACGCTTTACACAGCACACATAAAGTCCCAGTCAAACAGAAGTTATAGCCTCTTTAGCTTCTGTACTGTGACATATTCTCCAGTGAACTGGAATATTTCCGTGGTGTACAGTACAAGAGGAATTTAAATCAAATCCTTCGTGTTCGATTGGACCGTAAGAAGTGTGTGGGCGCAGAATGTAGCGCTTCACGCACACCTCCCTTGTCTCTTAAAGTCTCAGATTGAGGGATGGATGTCATGACATCATTGGTTGGAATTGGTTGGATATTCATGTAAAAATGTTGTTGCATATGTTGTTAAATGGATGCACAGTATGATTTTAAGGAGTTTAAAAGGCCTTTTTCATTTCATATCGACTTTACACTAATGACATTTCAGAGCCATGGATTCTAACTTCCACAAACCTCAGTCAGATAAAGGATCACTGAGTCGCGCTCGACTAACGTTTTTAACGAAACAACCCCTCTGCCCCTTCACTCTCTCTGCTACTAGAGGCTGGAGAGGCAGGTTAACAAGGAGCATGCATTTTGGACATTTCCAACACATCCGTCTTGGAATCGCCAACTGGTTTTAACACTTTCATCACAGCTTCTGTTGCACTGCATATCTAGCTGTTTATGTGACTTAAATCTAATGTAAAACAGTTGCTCTTGTACATTTAAAGACTTACAGCTGCATCTGATTTATTCACCTTATGATTGTTCATGATCTCTCAGGGTTTCGCTGCTACGCTAAATTCCACCGGAAGCGGCGCGTGACCAGGAGGAGGGGTCGCTGCGTGGTGCCAGAGTCAGTCAGCAGTGACCAAGGAGGCTTCATCACTATCTGAGGAAGAGGAGGAGGTGAAGGTGGAGGACAAGATGGAGGAGCTTGAAGGAGGAGGGGGGTGGGACGTCCACGACGTCTCTGACAGAGCAGATAGTGCAGCCATCAAATCACATGACACCGCTAACATGACGCTAGGTGCTGAAAGGTGACGGCGTGCTGGTTCTTCAAAAACATCTAAACATCAACATCTGGTCAGTTAAAAAGCAAAATATTGTAGCTGGAATTGCTGTTTGACTGTTGCATTGTGGGATGAGCCACACCGCTAATTCAGCATAACGCCACCTTTAAGCACTTTTTGTTGTTATTCAGCTGTTTTCACTCCAGCGTCACAGCAGAAGCATCTGTGTTTTTAAAGACTCACTCAGTCAACAATGACCAGTGCTTTCTGACATTTTTTAAATTGATATAAAAGATTCACTTGGCTGCCAACACGTGTCATCTCATAGTTTATGTGTTGATATTCACCACAGTTCTGGTGTCTGTTGTGGTGTCAGCAGTTTTTCTCACAGTTTTTCCTGCAGCTGGTTGTCTCTGTCCTGCTGACCTGAGTCAAACAATGTTTACAAATCATTTTTTGTTTTGTGATGAATTACTGTGTTTGGAGTCCAAAACGAGCGGCATTCATGAGTTCAGGATCATTCAAATTGAGTCAAGTAAGCTGTCATTCATGATACAATGACTTTGAAGAGTGTGAGCTCTCTGCTACATTTCGTCTCTCGGTACACTCGCTTTCCAAACAAATGCTGAAAATGATTTGTAATCATCCTGTTTTTGAACCCAGTCTGTTGTCCTGTGTTGTAAATAAGAATGTGTTTGAATTGCCGACAACTTTTTGTTAAATTGACTTCACTTCTCTTCAAATGTACTTCACGGTAGAACGATCTTAATGTATGTTTTATTTATACTGTGCTTAAACACAGTTGTTCAGATATTGTGTTTGTCTCTTTCTGTTTGCTTTTCATGATTAAACACTTACTAGGATAACCTTTTTGTGGTGTACACCTGCTTATATTTACAGCATTGATCCTCATCTATATCAGTTATTAGTATTTATTACTAATATTTCTTTTCTTTGTGGTAAAAGGAAAGTTTCAGGCTTTGAATCTGTACCTTTGGCAGATGTTTTTGTGTGGTAATACTCATAGGTACTCATACGTATAGGTTACATATATAGACAGATTATCCTATTCTAATACATATGTCATAATAGCAGTCTCTTAATAGTGCATTGTTATGAGTACACGATGGCCACAGCAGTGAAGAAGTATTCAGAGATCCTTTACTTATTGTAAGTAAAATAAAAGGATGGCCAAACACTCCATCAAAAGTACAGTACTGCAAGTAAAGCATTATCTGCTAAATGTACTCAAAATATATATTTATATATGAGTTCAATTTAAAGTCCCTGATATATTATTATATTACATTAATAGATTGTTAATACTGATTCACTAATGGGAAAGCAGCATTTTACTGCTGAAGACGCTCGAGGGGAAACTAGTTTGAACTATTTTATATATTTATTTATTTAGTTTTCTTTTTTTCCCTCATCATCACTTTGGTTTTGAAATATTGGAAAACTTTTACAACTTTGGGCTTGAATCAGGTTATAGATTCAACTTTATTTTATTGCACACAGAGAACAAGTACTAAGACAACGAAATGCAGTTTAGCATATTATCAGAAGTGCAAAAAGCAGTAAAGTGCAGAGTAATGCACATATAGTGGTAATATAAATATTACATAATGACAAACAGCAAGGGGTAGAAATGCAAAAGATATATATATATATATATATATATATATACATACAGTATGGACAGATGCATATATACATACATATTGGTTGTAAGAACATACATAGTATTGGTAGTGTATGTACAGTGTGGCAGTAGTAAATAGGTATAAAGTTGCATTAAATGGAAATACTCACATGAGTACAGCAGTAAAGTAAATGTAGTGAGTTACTTTCTGGGTCAGAGCATGATGGCGAGTTTAATGTCTTGGTTCTTTTGAGAAAAGCAGAACTTATTCATTGAGATGCTTGAGAAGAATAAAAACCAGCACTGATTTCGTCCCATAAACCTTTTTCCAAACACATCACCTTCTCTAGAACATGAGGAGTCAGTAATGAGGCGCCATTTATCTCCACGTGATAACGGGAACGCTGCAATCTCTGAAGCTCATTATCTCCAAACTGAACTGTGTCAGAACCCTTTAAAGCTTACGACACATTAGAGCAAGTGCAAGTAATATAACACCCAGCGTGTCTCTGATCCGAACACACACGCTCTCTGAGAATCTATCAATATTTGATTAGATGGAGAAAGTAACACTCGTTTTTCTTTTCCCACAACCAGCGGCTCGGTCGGAACGTGATTGTGCCATCCTGATTTACGGCTCCAGAATAAAAGCAGTGGTGATGTATTTTTAATAGTTACCTCTGACAGAGTGCCCTGCTGAAACCTGGCCAGTAGCCAGCCGAGTGATAGATTACCCAGAGCCACATCCCGGCAGAGCTGTAGCTTCACATCACCGATGTCACAGAGGCACTTCTCCCTTTCTTTAGGATTTCTTGAAGTAATTAATTCCCAAAGTTTTTTTTTATCTTCACCCAACTTCTTTAGAGCAGGGAAACTCTCAAAAGGACACACGTGGTGAGAACAATTTACACGAGGATAAACAAAGCGGCAGGAAATTCTCTCTATAGCCTCAGAGACAATAAATCATTTGATAAAATGTGTTGAAAATCTATAAAAACTAAATGAAATGAGGAAGATGATGTGCTCTAGCGCTACATTTATGCATTTACTCAAGTCTGTCACAGACGGTTAGGATGTAAAAGGGAGCATTCATTTGCAATCGCATCCAAGAGTTGCTTTTCCTCTGACGGTTAAAGACATTACGCAAATTAAATAACATGTCCAACATTTGTCACTCTGCAATCTCATCTTGGCACACGTGCACACAAACACCCTCAGCACAGCGTTTTGAGACGTGTTTGAAAGCATAACCACTTCAATTAGAGCAACAAATCTTGAGCATGTGTGTGTGTGTGTGTGTGTGTGGGGGGGGGTCAGAGGTCTTCAGGAGGTCAGGGTTCACACTGGAAAACAGGAGTGTGCAGGAGCCATCTGCCAAAGCTTGCACATTGGATCAAGTCCTATTGAGGTATAAGAAGCATGAAAGAGGCAAGCAAGCCGTCCCACATTTGCATTTTAAAAGTTGTGGCATTAATATGCAAATGAATTTGAATCTAGATGCAGATGTCACTTCAGAAAATACTGTAGTGAGCAGGTGAGTGAGACATGTCTTCTGCAGAACCCAGAAGTGACAAATACTTCATGATTTTATGCATCTAGCCAAAAGTGAAAAGCAGATATGAATGTATCTGTAAGTTATTTATGAATGAACAAGGAGTATGAACATGCAATGCTATTCTTAACCTTGGAGATAACTCAAGGTCTCCTTACCAGCTTTTTCAGAGCTTTAAAACAAATCCCAAGGTGGATGGATGTGCTCAGTTGCTATAATGTGACCAAACTTCAGGGACATGATAACAGGTGAGATGATCAGGTGGGAAAAGATGAGAGAAAATGCTTTCCAGCTGAGAGGAAGATGAAGGGAAAATACAAGTGTTTCTGAAGAAATAAATCGTTTTTCAAATGTAGTAGTTAGTATTTTTATCATAAACTAAAATATTTTCTATCTCTGTTTGAGTGTATAAGCGTGATTAGAAATAAAATGTAAAAATGTAAAAGTGTAGGTTTCCTCATAAACAGGACACATCTGTTTGAAAAGGATCTCAAATACGTGTTACATTATCAGAGTAAAGATGTCTTTTGTTTTTACCCGTGTGGACTTCATTATTGGGATGTTGCCGTGCTCTCAGTCGTCAGCATTTTTGTTGTTGAGTGAATCCTAACCAATAGAAGTGATGGCCCAGACTAGTAAAATAAGACCCACGTGGTAATGAATTGGACTTATCATTTAATCAGCTCCATCACAAAGTCTTCTTCCTCTTGTACATGTGCAGCTGCGGTTGTGTGTCTGTACCTGCCGAGATAAGTGACCACAGCAGGATGGTAAAAGATAAGATCTCCCTTTATTATCCCGATAGGGGACTCTGAATGCGAAAGGAAAAAACAAGAACCTATTTGTTTGACTAGACTGTGGCACAAGACAAAATGAGAGCAGGAGTTCACTAACGATCGATAGAAGCCGTGCATCTTCTGGGGATCATGAATCCATACTAAGTTTCATGGTAAGCTGAGCGGTAGTTGTAAAAATGGATACAGCATCTGGAGCAACAATCGGATGAACTTTTCCAAATGTCACAAACAAGCTGACGTAGTGAACTTCAACATTGAATTTGATGGATATGCATGCATTATCACCCGCTTTACTGAATCTAACCAAACCTTTGCTTAGAATTGACTGCTGACTTCTCCAGAAACGCTGTTTTTTGCGACTAATGACTAAGTGAGGAGATTGTCTTACAGCTAAGTTCTCAATGACCCGCCAGGCAGGGGCGTTGTTAGGCCTATTTTAGGGGGGCTTCAGCCCCCCCAAATAATTTGGCATTTAAAAATAAAAATAAAAATAAAAACTTTTTTAAATTTTTATTTTGGTGACGTCATTATTGTTTCTCACATGGACAAGTTATTTATAACTCTAACATGCTACATATGTGCGTGCAACTGTCTGAAACAATGGATATCCACGGCCCCAAATGGGCCCAAAAACAATTGCCGTGCACTGCGTGTGCAAACATTCCCCTCTCCTTGGGGCTAAGCCCCCCCCCCCTTTCTTTGAATCCTAGAAACGCCCCTGCCACCAGGCATTGAAGCTCATTTTACTTAGTGGCCATATAGTCAAATTACAATTTATTTGCTACAAAAAGACTTGCATTTGAAAGAGACGTGTAACTCAGCAGATAATACTTTTTTTTTTTTTTTTTTAGGTAAATCAACTTCCCATTACAATTGATTGAAATTGATTGGTATATAGCTCACATAAGCTAACATCATATTTTGTTTTACAGAAAGAAAAGATGATTGGATTTTGATATAAAAATACGAAGGAATTGATTTAGATTTAGATTTTTTTTGGCATATATTCTTGAATTGGTCCATCACATGACTGGGGATGTGATCCAAAAGGATCAAAGGGGTCATTTTCATCTTGACTATAACTATATGCATTTAAACACATTACTGCCTATGTTTGTATCAAAAGCCTTCATCGGTCCTTTTCAAATCATCCCACTGCTGCTGACATGTGATGTGTTGTCATGTTATTTTGCGGAGGGGAGGGGGGTGAGTGTCACATGGGAGGCAGTCAGCCTGCTATCACATGGTTTGTGTTTGCAGGCTGATCTGAAGGGAGGAGGAGTTTCACAGAGAAGTTTGTGCAGGAAGAAACAATCTGCGGCAGCTTTTCATGAAGCCCCCCGCAACAAGTTAACGCAGTGAAGCGAATAAAGGAAGAGGTGCTTTTAACCAAACAGCCTGTGATGGAAATCCCTGCCATAAATCTAAAGGTGAGTTTGCGGTTTTTACTTGATTGTAATGTTGGCAACTGGTTGTAACAAAGACTCAATGCGATGATGTCAACTTTGTTGCTCAATTCCTCGGTGGGGCAACTACCTTCCTCTAGGGAAATGTGTTTTAATTGGTGTTTTTCTGTGTTGTTGTTAAATGACTGAAGAAACGTTCATTTATTTATGTTCAAGTGCCTTAAAGATCATAGACTGCATGGTTATGTTGTCAGTGATGGACCAAAGTAAACAACACTATTGGATGTTAGAAACACAAACATAGTGATGATTGCATGAGTTATTAAGATATGTTTGAGTTCAAACAAAGATCAAACTGATAAACGGTGCTGCCAGATATAGAAACACAATAGTTTAAGTTATTTATCACATGACCCACAGAACAATATCTTGTCAGTCATTTCTGATTTCTCCACTTGTTATGTGTAAAATCCTAAAGCAATGAGTTAGAGGCAAAGATGTGTCATTCCATAACAGGAATTCAATAGAATCATGCCTTTGTGCTATTTTTTGTAAAAGGATCAAAAGCAGATCAAAAGTTTGGAAGACTCTTAATCAAATCCCGGAATCTTGGACTCAAACATGTGATGTGAAAAGCAAGACAAGACGATGTGTAAATGTAGCTAAAGTAGCACTCACTCTGATATTGTGGAGGGGAATTTTCTGATTCATAAATTGTGCGAAGAAAAAGCATATTTAAAAGCAGCAACTTGTGGAGCCATGACATCGTTCCCCTGATGCTGCTTCTCACTATATCACAGACACAAGTTGATCACATGTTTCCAGTTCTGTGGCTTCATGCTCTGATGTTTGTGAGTTGATCGACTGAACTCAGGCTGCATCTAAAGTTACTTACAGTAGAAACTATTCTTTTTTTCAATCAATCAATTCATTGTTTAATATATAGAATGTAAAGAAAATCATTAAATATGTTCCAGAAACCCAAGAGACACCTTCAGATGGCTTTTCTTCTGTCCAACTAACAAAAAGATTCAGTTTACAATGATATGAAACAGTGAAGCAACTGAACGGTTGGAGTTTTTAGTTGATAAACGATTGATCGGTTGTCAGAATTAAACACTGAAGTGTCCTTTATTTCTATCTATCTATCTATCTATATCTATATAGATATAGATATATCTATATAGATATAGATATATCTATATAGATATATCTATATCTATATAGATATAGATATATCTATATAGATATAGTATTAAAATATGTCTTCATTCCCTGTAACACTCGTCTTCTGTCCTCTGTTGTAGGCCATAGTCCTGGTGCACTGGCTGCTTACAATATGGTGAGTGTAAGCACCGTTTTTTTTTCCACAAACCTGAGGAATTTCTCTCCTCTTCTGACTCATGCGCACACACACACACACACACACACACACAGACTGATTCCCAAGCTAGGTTCAGGCCAACTCTTTCACCTCCATGTCCCAGACACGTGTTTTCTTGATACAGGACTGTGCGTGTGTGTGTGTGTGTGTGTCTTGCTGCAGGGCCTGCATGTTTTCGTGGCTTCCCAACTCCTTTGCTTGGGGCAACTTCAGTGTTTTGGCTGTTGGCGTCTGGGCCATCGCACAGAGGGACTCCATCGACGCCGTGCTCATGGTGAGTCCTCGTCCTCCGCTTCCTTCACGCTGGCTGCGATCTTCACATCATGTGACCGGCACAGGAGTCTAACTATAGGCACAGCAGTGCGTATCCGTGCTAACCTATTTGTCTGTGGAATCTGGGACAATCTGTGAGCATCCCTTTGAGAGAGAGAGAGAGAGAGAGAGAGATAGCCTTCCCTTAAATCAGCACAGAGCAGCAGGAACCGTGGCGGTCATGGTCACACAGATGTTTTAGTCTGTAGTGGTAGGCCAGTGAGGACGTCGGCATTCGTTCCTCTTTAAGAAACTTTCCTGAGCCTGACTGATGAGTAGGGCTGCATAATATTTAGCTGTTTTTAATAGTATGTGATGTCAAAAGGTTTTGATATTGCACTCAGGGATTTTTTGAGTTAGTAGAAAGAGAGCATCAGTATAAACTGTACTTTAAAATGTAACTGTCAGTCTGTCTTGTGTCCCATTTGTTCAAAAAAAGAATGTGGAAATCATTTCTTTTCATTTTTTGTCAGCATATTGAAAGCAGCAGAAAGGCAGAACTGAGTACACTTTATAAGTAATATTTTCCTCATATTGTGCAGCGCTACTGATGAGTTAGTGGCGCTCAGCTCTGCTGCCGCTTTGCACTGCATTGAGATTTTAGGGATTTGAGGGTTGTGACACTTTTCCCAGTAAAATTACTTTGGGCAGTAACGGTTATTTATTTATTTATTTTTAACATGTAAAATATAAGTTAAAAAAAATAAAAATATATATATATACATTAAATGTATTAGAATTCTCACAAACAATATAAATACACATAAACAATATGAATACAAACAAATGAGGTAATGTCCATAAAGGAGAATGAAGAAGTATTCAATTATATACTTATAATTTACCCAGAACTCATGGCAAGTTAAGATAGTAAAGAACTAGAAGTTAAACATCTATCTGTGATCTGTCTGTAACTTAAATCCGAGCGGCCCCCAGACTGCCTCGCTGGCTGTGAAGGTGTGTTATATGCCAAACAAACACACCACATCTCAAGGGTTAAAAAGAAGAGGAAAAATAACCTGTCCAGTGTTTCTTTCAATGACACATTTGACATTAATGGATTCTGACTGTCGGTGGGAAGTTACCATCGGGGAATTTTTCACCTTGTCTTTAAAGTCCGGGGGTCCATCAGGAGAGATCCTTGTGTGCTGAGCTGGCTGAATGCTCTGGATTCTTTGTGGATCAGGAAGCAGCTTCAAAGTTAAATCAACCAGGAAGATGTTTTCTCATGTGCTATGCAGCTTACTGCATGTTTCTGTTATTATCAACTCCAGACTCTTTCAAGTGTCTTAAATATTAATAATGACAATAATATTAATGAATAATGTTTTTTAACACGAAATAGATGATGAAATAGATGAAACAATGAAAACAAACAATACAATAAATGCACGTTAAAAAGAGAAATGCAATAAGAGAATAAAATGAAATAAGAGATGAAATTAATAAAACAAAATAGATTGTCAACTAATCATTTATTTAACTCGCATTTCTGTTTTTTTTTGGAGCGTTGTCTTTCATCCCATCATATGGATTTGATTGTTCCAGATAATAAAGGTTACAGATACATTTTAAATGTCACTGTTTTCTTTCTTATTTTTTGCATTTTTCCTTCTGACTTCCTTCACCACTCTCAGAAATCTCTCTCTTTTAAATGATTGGAATGACTTTGTTTTCCACACGCCGTATGTTGCAAGGAATCGTTTCCTGTGGTTGATTACATGTGTTGGCCCTTCAGACTTCAAACTATACAGTAAGTCCAAAAGCATCTGACACACCATTACGTGTGCATTACGACATCTGCCTCTTTTTGTCCTCTCGCTGTAGTTTCTGATGGGGATGGTCGTGACGATATTGACCGACATCGTCCATTTTGGGATCTATTACCCGGCGAATGACTCCACAGTGGAAACCAGGTTTCGCTTTAGTGCAGGAATGGCCATCCTCAGCCTGCTGCTCAAACCTGCGTCCTGCTTCTTCGTCTACCAGATGTACCGCGAGCGTGGAGGAGATTACAACGTTAACTTTGGTAAGTGCTGCAAAATGGGTCAAGTACAGTAACACAAGGAGCTTGCAGACTTATGAGGAAGGGATTATTTGCCACCATAAGGCTGGTTATGAGGAAGAAACAGATGTTCAGCTCTGATAAAGACATCAACAGGAATTTAAACGCTTCCAAAAAGAAAAGTCTTACAGTGGACACAGATTCTATCTTTCAGCATACTGGAATGTCTTTTTTATTTAATCATAGAAGTGGGATCTAACTCCACTTTGAGGAGCAGATGACACAGGAAATAACTCATTACATAACAACTTAAGGTTTCATCTAGCGAGAACATGCATCATTTCAGAACTGGTGAGAAATATCTGAGGTTTCCTCCTCCCCACAAATAATATAAAATAATCCCACGCCCTGAGTGTGAGCAAAGCTAGCTGGAGGTACGGTGTGGTGCATCTGTCCAGAGGCGCTTTGAGATCCTCCCTATGTTGTTTTATGCCGTTTGCCATGAAAGGCCTGCCAAGTGCAGCGCACACTGGGAGGGCTCTGTGCTTTACCACCGCCGGATGATTCCACGGTCAAACGAATTAGTTACAGTCACAAGACTTTAAATGAAGCAAAATATCTGAGCTGCAGCTCGGCCTGGGCAAGGAAATCAGTTCTCCACGAGTTGTTTGTCCCGTTTGTGTGTCATTCTGACCACCAGTTTATTCTGCATGCAGCGCAGGGGCATATTAGACCCACGCAGGATGAAAAAAACGTGAAATAACTGATCTGCCGTGATGGAAAAAATAGCACGCCATTGATGTGAAATAAACTGAGATGGAGCCCAGAAGGGATGTGCACAGAAATAGAGATTTTGTGACGTTGAGCTTGGTAAACTTCTTCCATTGACTGGTCAGGAGATACTCAAGATGAGCTCTTTTATTCGCCATGTGTGGCCTGCTGAGAACTTTCCCATCAGGAATCCCACTGAGCCGTGATGTCCTTGAAAATCCTTGAAAATCCTTAGTCATGGCTTCATTCACATGGATTAATCAAACATGTCTGTATTCATCATTTGTAGTTTATGATTTTCATGGCAGAGGAGTGAAACAAATTCAATACAATTTTTGAGCTAGTGAGCTTTTCTTGCCACGAAAAAAACAAAAGTGATAAAAAAATAAACCAGGAGGTGGGACATTTGATTTATTATTAACTGTCATATCATCGGCTAAAATAGGAATTTATTACACTATTCGATCCGGGAAAAGTAATGAAATTCCTCCTGTGTTGCAACTAGTCTTGTTTGACGGATAATTGAATATTGATTAATCTGTGGTTTTACTCTTAATGCCAGAGAGAAGCAGCAGGTACATCCATTAGCCTGTGATTGGCTGCGTGGTGACTGATGAGTGCAGCTAATGTTTGTTTCCTACAATGTGTGTTTTAATTGCTGTCTTGATTGCATCGCTGGCATTAGCATGGTTCCCTGCTGCAACAAGCACTGTGAGAACCAGGCAATCGGGTGCATGTGAGTGAGAAGCCTGGTTGATTAATTTGATTGGCGGCCTTCTTATGCAGGTTTACATCCCTCCGGTTTTGTGTTTTTATTTTTATGTTGCTCAATACAATAGAGGCTATTAGACTGAGCAATCCCACATTTAGCGTTAAATTGACTGCTACTCAACATGTCCCCTGAACATTGTTTAAGTATTGCTGTTATTAGGCACAGCTGAAGCAGTGTGTATGAAGAGCGATACTTGGTATCTGACATATGAGATAGTTTTTCAAAACAAAAGAGCAGAATTTTAAGGAATGGATTAAACCGTGTGTTCGTCTGCTCTAATGTAAACTGCAAATGTTAGCATGCCTAGCTACCTAGCTTACCACCTACAGTGGGCTAGTAATGTTAGCCACCTCTGAGGCTAGTTAGCTCCTCATTAGCTAGCTACATTATTTTGTGGGGTTACCGGTCGTGTTAGGAAAAGCTCAGTACGGAGCGAGCACATCCACTTTGTAGCATTCCTCCACAGTGGGATCAAGGGTGTAAGGTTTAGGTCTGGACCGTTTGAATACAGTTATTGTCGGAGGATTTCACCCAAACATCGTATGTGATAAGAGGAAACAACCTTAGTTTTCATCTCGAGAAAACAAAGCTTGTTTCTTAAGATAATGATCTCTAGAAACGATATTAAGAAGAACGTTTGAGCCCATTTGGGGCTTCCGTACTGCAATACCAAGGCCCTATGTCTTTTGTTTGCATCCGTCCGTTTGAAATCATGGACGCATTGTGTGAAAAAGCCTTCTAATTTTGAGTTGTAGTTCATATAACTGATAGATTCACTGTTCTATGAACTGATCTAGAACGTAAAGCTTGACAGACAGAGCAACAGTAGCTAGGGGAGGGCGGGGTTTAGCAGACTGTTAATTGCCTGCAGTGCATTCCCCCTTTATGTTCAGCTGGCTTGTGGTGACGCAGTTCATTAATGTGTAAGAATTTGTCAAAACGTCCATCTCCCTGTTCTTTTCTTGCATTTTGTCTTTACTAACCTCACAGTCTGTCATGTTTCATGTCTCATGTGTTTCCTGTTCTGATTTGTCTTGTGTCTTTTCTCCTCTCTGCTGACCTTTGACCTCTCAGACTTAGAGACCTCTGTGGACAGTCGCTGTACTACGGATAGTGCTGACAGTGCCTTTATTTGCCGCCGCTATTGATTCCTGGCTTCTTCCTTTTTACCATTTTCTCCTCTCCAATCATCCCCTTCCATCCTCTCCCACACAGGAAGTAAGATCACACATCAGGCGGCAGGACAAAAAAAGAAACTGACTTTTTATTTATTCATTTGCCAATTACTATCTTGTTAATGTTCTGTTGTCCATCTTTCTCTTTTTAGTTATTTATATTAATTCAATCTGTCATTCCCACCTCCATCAGTCCTCAGTGCCCTCCCATTCTTCTGTGTATAGCTGTGTATGTCAGTACAGTATGTTTATATTCTTATCTATTGTATTATGTGAGTTTATAGGTTTCTGAAAGTTTGCATCTATGTATTATTCATATTTTTACTCTCCAGACACCTCATTTGTGTTTGTGTATTCTGTCCGCATATATTTAAAGCAGAGCTGCATGATGGTGCACATTCTCAAATCAGCCTAATTAAAGTAATGATGACTTATAATAATAAACAATGGATGTGACCTTGTTTGAAATGCACACTCAGAGTAAGACTTAAGTTATTGAAGGCTTGTTTAGCAGCAATGATGCGTTAAAAAAAAAAAAAAAAAGACTAATCAATGTATTTTTAAAGCTTTAAAATATAAACATGAGTTCTGCAGTCTTTTCAAATGAATATATGTATATATTTACTTAAATCATCCAAACCCTCTGCAATGGAAGTGCTTGTTTGATTAGCATTAATATGTGCATGTCTGTCACAGTTAGAGGACTCTGGGCCATGCAGACGTAAGAGTGCACAGGTCTTTGAACTTCCAAAAAGACATCATTGGTATTCTGTCCGAGTTTGTTTTAAAGTATCATATTGAGTCTTTTTAAGACTTCTCCGATGGATTAGTGTACAGCCTAGAATTCATTATAAAGCACGTGTACACAAAGTATAAGGCAGCCAGGAGCTTGCATGCAGAGGTTTTCAGTGTAAACGCATGTCTGAAAATTCTACTCGCATGAGGTTTTTTGGGACTCATTATACGTTCCTCTGGTCAATTTCTCTTCAATTAGCTGCAGAAGAAGCAGCTAATCAGATAGTAGTGGGTGTAAAAACAGAGTGATAGAAGGGGAGGAATGTCCGCGCCTCTTAAAGAGGTTTTCTTGAATGTAGTTTGCTGATTTCTCAATCCGTCGTCCATCACAGGTATGTCGGCAAAGACTGTTTCCAACAGTGTAATCTATATTTATCCAGAGGGGGCCAGATGCTCTAGTCAAGATAACAAATCCGGCCAACTGTGTCACCAATCTGTGTGAAGAGAACAAGGAAGTTGTGTTTAAGCTAAGGATTCCTTTCTTGTGCAAACAGTTTCATTCTGCATATTTCAGTGATTCTAAGCAGATATGATTATGTATAATAGTGTGCATGACGAGGGTTGATGTGTGCGTGTTGAAGACTTTTGGCCTGTCTCCGCAGGTTTCCCCTCTGTGTCACGAGACAGAGATACCTACCAGTCCATTGACCAACAGGAGGAGTCTACCCCCCCGGCCAATCCCTTCAACCAGGCCCAGGACAGCAAACCAGCCGTCCGCACATACTGAGTGAACCAGGCGGTGAACAATACAGTGGTTTCCTCTGACTTTTTATGCAGCAGCTCAGTGGGCAGTTTCTTTTTTCAATCGATTCCACATCCGTCCCTGTGTTTCATACAGTCGGTCTGCTGCAGATTGCACTGACGGCAAAATGAATACTTTATACTTTGCTAAATCATTAGCTCTGCTCTGCTCTCTGTTTTAGAATGAAATGTGGTGTAATTAAACCCATTTACATTTTTTCTTCAACGGTTGTAATGCTTTTCTGCTGAGCTGGCACATCACTGCTGAATAAATACAGAGGAAACACTGCTCTACCTCTCCCCTGCTGTGTTACTGCTGTTACCGCCTACTATTTTTTTAGTAGGGAGGTGTTGAATGGAGCAGTTGTGTCAGTTTACATGTGGCACTTACAGACATCTTGTCTGTTTCTCGTTGTGATCTGCAGTAAATGTAATTATTATATTTCCTATTACGCTTTGCTTTACGGTACAACAAAATGCTTGAAGCACGTGAACTGAAATGAATGTTCAGTGTCGTGCCTTCAAAAGCTACCCTGTGCCTTTCTACTTGTTCAACTCATATGAGCTGTTATGTTTGAGTTGAAGAAGCTGTGACCAAATTGAAGTTCGAGGTCTTTCTTCTCATGACTGAGCAAAACCTCCGTAGTGCAGCGCAGCACACAGACGGCCACCGTCCACTTGATGTTGACCTATGCAAAGGATCTAGTGCTGCAACTATAAAGAACACATAAAAACATAAGGAGGCTTGAGAAAAAATTAAGGAAAGTGGACGCTGTGGCAGCAGGGTTGACTTTATAGACTGATTGCATCATTTGGATTCGTTTTTGTTTTTTTACAGTCAGTTCTCTTTTGAAAGTTCCTGTTTTCATGATGACCTACATGACAAAGCTGACATGTGGCAACTATGTTGGTCGCGTTATGAGTGAGTGAAATGATCCCGGCTGTAGCACAAGGGGATCTTCAGTCCAGTTGTTCCCAAACTTTCTCATGTCAAGGACCCCCGTCACTGAGACAAATTAGACCAATGACCCCCATTTGATAAGATTTTGTCCCAGGGTCCCTCATCTGAAAAAACGTTGCTCTTACATGTTATAAAAATAGGCAGTCATTGTGTTAAATATCGATCGACCCCTCATGGACCCCTGTGAGTCCCTGATCCCCACTTTGAGAATCACTGTAGATCCTAAGAGGCACCTTATTTGCTGACCTGCCTCCAGTTCAGACACACTAACCTGGCCTGTGTCTTTAAAAGCATGTTGTTCCACACTAACTGTGCTCTGTAATACCACATGGTGTCCACCATGTTGATTGTGAGAGACCAGCAGCAATTGTTTCCTTAATTATGTTCATAATAAAGTTATATATATCTATCTATATCTATCTCTATATAGATATATATAATATATAGATATATATAGATATATATAGATATAGATAGATATATAGATAGATATAGATAGATATATAGATCTATATAGATAGATATAGATATATATAGATATATATCTATAGATATATATCTATAGATATATATCTATAG